GGGAAGAGCTCGAGTCACGCGAGATTTCAATTAACTGGGAATCGATCGAGGAGCCATCTGGTTTTTTTTTTTGTTTTTTTTTTCGAAGTAATTGCTCACGCAAGTCTTAATGGTCTGGTGTCGTTACTTGGCGTCGGGAATATTTTTAGTTTGCATCGAGGAACGATCACGGAGAAAGATAGCGAGGAAACGTATATGGGGGATCAGTGGACCGAATGATGATGCTGGAGAGGTATGTACGGGTTTAATTCGATTTTTCTGTTAAAGTTGCGAAATTCAACCGATGCGAAATTTTCAATGGGTCCAGTCTGCGCGGGTTTGGGGTTCTGGTTTCGTGGTTCTGTCAGATTCGCAAAAATATGAGTGGGTTCGTTGCCGTGGGCATGTATACATATATATAGTATAAGTATATAGGTATATAAGGTAGGAGATTACATTGGTTCGAACCGGTAGGCGTTTTCCGAGAGGGAAAAGCTCGTAGATCTTTGGCGTGCCTCGAGCCCAGTGTTAATTCATAGCATCGAAAGTCCGACTTACCTTTAATCCACTTCGGCTTTCTCTCCGGCACCTTTTTCTCAATTAGCTCCAGAATCTATTTCCCGAGGTTGTCGAGCGTGGGTTTTTAAAAGTTGCACACAAAAAAGAATTGAAGTTTGCATTTTTTTTTTTTTTTTTTTGGTTACCTGGTGTAATTTTACGAATTGGAAAAAAAAGTTACGTTTCATCCGACCTCGACTCAAAGATTTTATCGTTATCAATTTTTCGAAAAAAAAAAAATTTTATTGTTGCCCATGACGATGATAATTATCGATGCTTCTGCTAGTGACTTTTTCAATTTCTCGTGTATCGGGTCCGAGGGAATGTAACTCGGGGTCATAGGTCGCGCGTGCAATCAAGCGCTCCGCGACGACCCCCTCCTTTAGGGCTTTGTAGGGTGTAGATGAACGTCAATGAGGAGAATAGCTGGCGGACAATAACCTGTGGCCACTCTGTATCGTAGGACCGCAAGAAATAACACGGTAGATCGAAAATCCTCTGGTAAAAATAAAATGGTCATTTTTATTTATTTTTTTTTTTTTTTCTTATTGTATTTTCGCTACGTTTATCAAAGTGTCGCTGGTGGCCCGAATGGGCGGCGGGTCGTCCCTTTATTACGCGGAGCACTCGAGCATTTAGAGGTCGGGAAATATATATTATATCGAATTTATTTCCGTCCGCCATAGCGCATACTGGCTCGGCTATATATATATATATATATATATTTTCGTACGTTTTGTTACGTCACGAGGTAATATCACAATAGTCCCTTTCGTTGTCACGCATCGCGGTCAAATACGGTTTTACGGTGTCAGAAGAAAAATTTGCCATACTTTTCTTTGACAGTAGACGTAAAAAAAAGGTAATAGTTAATTTTTATATAATTTTGTATAATTAATTATGGAATTTCTCATCGAGCCGGCTGGAACATTTATTCTAGAACATGTAACACTGACCTGGGCTATTACGTGATATTCGCCGGTAGGAACTTAATCGTACGTTTAATATAACGGGTGGCAATTAAGAGCTCGCCGTTGATCATGCTCGCTCTGCATTTCTGGTAAAATTCTCGAAATTCGTTGCGGCAGTATCCGTATCTTTGAATTTTGTAAATTTTTACGATTTTAATTATTTTATATATTATTCGTCAATAATTTCTTTGCGGACCGTGCCCCTTCGCGTTGATAAACTTATTGTTTTATCCGTTATGCGAGTAGCGTGACGTTTGTTATTTAAATTAATTGTTAATGAATTTTTTTGAAACCAATCAAATTTCTTATTTCTACAGGCTATACGTTTCGTGAACTGGACATTACGGGCAATGCCATCGTGAACTCCCACAACGTCAGCGATTCGCCCTACTTCGAATTCCACGTGCCCCGCAATGTGACAGCTGCGGTCGGACAAACGGCTTTCTTACATTGCAGAGTGAACCAGCTCGGCGACAAAGCGGTGAGTTTTAATTTTTATTATTTATTACTCATCGCACCTCGTAATGGCTCCATAGGCCGTCGCGTGTTACACGGCGACACGTAAATTTCTCACAATCGTCTGCCGGCTGTAAATCGTATTCTCTGCTTTAGTTTAGATAGCTGAAACGTACGTTTCGATATAATACATTATTGTTTCGCGCGGCTGTAAATACCAAAGTTCGTTTCCCGTTAACAGTTGGCGAACTATGTCAAAATTTGAGTACGGTACACGGGTACCTTAAATATTAATGTTACATTGAATTGTACGTGGATACGCGGGTCTGTTTTAAAAAATATTTTCCCTCTCGACTGTACACAAATTTTTTCCTCTTTTTATCAATTCGCAATTTGACTTTGTGCCAAAAAGCGGATTTTCTCAAGAGACCCTGGGTACTCGAAAGCCAATCAGTGTCGAGACTCCTCCTCAGGTCAATCGATGTAACACTCACGTGAGATGGGGTACGATATGAGATTTCATATTTGACGTGTTTTTATAATATTTTTTTTTAATCAGTCCCGGATCCTGCAATTTTCGTTGGTAGAACTCAAAATTTAAAAGCAAAACCACTACGAGACTCGAGCGCCTCTACTTGCTCGGGCGCGAAGGTGAATTGGACGGGTCCTTTTTGATGTTAAATATTAATTAGCTCGTACGTAGTATATCGTCGCTCCGTAAAGCCACGGGTACATTCCCGACTAAAGATATACGTTGACGATCAGGATTAAAGTATATCGAGAAAGTCGATAGGTCAGTGGGACGAGGGACGGTATGACGTAATTATAGCAGAGGCCCAGGTAAGGTCCGACAGTCCCAGGCGGGACTGGTCCCATACTTGTCCCGGTCCTGCCCCTTTTACACCTCAGAGTCACAAGCCCGTATTCACAACTCGCTCTTACAGTCACTAACAGAGTCCCTCGTAGTTAAAAGTCACTAAGAAAAAATGTAAAAGCCCGCTATTGGCACTAAAAGTGAGTTCTGAATACGGGCTATAGAGTCTGGCTCTGGCAAAGGGGATATTTTCGGATGAACTGCGGATGAAAAGGTCTGTGTAAGGGTGCACGATACTATACATGATTTCTAGAGTCTAGCCCGGCCCAACTGTACACATATCCTGGACACGATAGCCGCATTGACTTTTGGGAGTCTATTCACGCGGATAACTACTTGAAATTGAATGAGCAGAATTGAGAGCCACGAGTGAAAGTACGTGAAATTGTAAAAATTATTGAATTCCAATAGGCTGTTGAAAAGATTTTTTTTTCACCAGAATCCACGTATACAGAGCTCTCGTATTCGGAGATCGAATAAATTTTTGATAAATACAATCGCGACGTGCGCTGCGCTTAATCGGATGACGAATAGGACAATAGTGTGGTTGGTCATTTTTTGCAAAATGCATTAATAATCGTATTAACGTTGGAGCTCCCTGTGATTACGTAATTTCGATAAATTCAATTTACGTTAATAACTTTTTTGCACTGAAGTTCTTTTTTTCTAATGTATATGTATATATTTTAAAATATATGTGTACAGGTATCGTTTGCTTCTACCCGCAGGCCCGCCGTTATTTACACTCTCGTTATATTTCTGACCTACATGTGAGTTTTGCTCTGACGTTGCAACCGCGATTAGCGCAAGTACTGAGAGAGAGAGAGAGTGAGTGAGTAGGGCAAGTGCACGAGAGTGAGTGAGACAGAGAGAGAGTGAGGGTCCATAAGAGCAGGAAGTTAACTTCGTTACTGTAGACTTCCGCTACGAGGAACCAACTTCCGCTTTGAGTTAATTTGCTTTAGGAGAATCGCAGGGTTCGACGTTTGAAAATACCTCGGAGCACGGTCCATGGTACGTGATTTAATATATTAGACGTTAAGGGTAATCCTAATGAGAAGCTTGTCGCGCGCGACTGTCTGCCCAATAGGAACAATAGTCCCTGATTGCTACGTTATCAATGGCATTATCATACGAATCGCTGTCACAAGCTGTGCGCTTCGTCACGTTGTATACTTGTCGACGAGAGGCTGTTTCAGTTCTTGTTTTTTCTTTTTTTTTCTTTTTTTTTTGCGGACAATTGTCCCAGGTCAGGGCCGACGTAATACGGAGACAAACGATCAGGGCCGCGTCGCGTTATCGCTGCCGCGAAAAAAAATATCTATGGAAACGACGAATATTCAGAGGCCTTCCGAATTAATTACGATCTCGGTCTGAAAAGTTGATCGGTGACTTTTATCAATTCTGGACCGAACGCGGATGCTGTTTTTTTTTTTTTCGAATTTGAAAAATACAACCGGTCGCTCGTTTTAGCGAAATACAAAGAATTCTCTACTTCTACGACATTCAAGCTTACGGAGGCCCGTGACCGTTTGCCAAAAATTTTTTCCTTTTTCTGCAGTTATTTTTATCATTTTTTCGTCTCCCCTATATACGCACACGTCGTAGGGTCGCGGTTGCGTCGGAAGCTGTTTTGTTTTTCCACAAGTCGCCGGACTGGACCAAGCGGGACCCTCGTACTGTTTTATCTCTGTGTGTATTTCGGTGAATAATATTTGCACGAAATTTCGCAGTCGTCCATGGGAAATCGCAGATTTCATTCAGTCGGCGAAAGTCATCTCGATCAGCTGTTACCCGGTGATGGTACGCGAGCGGAATCAGAGAGTGCCCATAGAGAGATTCATATTTATTTATACGTGAGGATTCGCCTTTGCGAACACGCGATTATGGACTGTGGGAATGTAGGAGTGCCATGTATGACGTCACAGGGAGCAGGGTCAGCTTCAATCACTTCCGGTGGACCCTGGCAGCGCCGTAAACATCGATCCCGAAATTTGCTGAAAATTGACTCGAAGCATCAAAAGTCCTAGTGAGATTTATCCCTTTGGAGTGACGGCGCTGCATCACGGGCTGGGTGTACCATGGGTATACGGGGTGTCCGATAAATAGCCGAGGGCACGAGGGATCGTAAACTTCGTAAATCGCAAGCCGCAAGGTCGTTCGCGCAGTTGGACGGGTCCACCGCGCGAAATTTCTTGCCAATCGCAAAATCTGCCACGTTCGTTCGAGGTTACTCATTAACGACGCAATTATTCACCGGGGAGCCAATAACGCGGATTCGGATTAATTCCTGGCCGAGGGGGGGCGAAGTCACGGGGGCGCCGTTCCGTTTCCCCACGTAGCGACGGGCGTTTTCGATCAGGCTTCGCCGATGGCTGCTACGGGTTGGCAACTGGTGTTTTCATTCCGGTAATTTCGGAAATTAGGCTGCAGAACTGTAACCCGCGCAGGATTGGTAATGGTCCAGGCGCTTATGACGTCTACCGCGCAGCTGGGAGGGTGACACGCTCGGTGTCTGGTCTCGAAAATCTTCCAGCCTACCTATCGAGCCCGCGAACCCGGATAACAGGGCTGATTAAGGAAAGTAGGATCCTCGTTAGCGGCGAATATAAAGATAGGAACTTTGCGGAATTAACGTATACCGGAAACCTCGAAGACCTTGGGGCGGATTAGCAAACGGGCTGCAAAGTTGAATTTAAACGTGTCCCATATACCCACCTTGGTTATATTCTCTCATTGGCTCTGCTCTTTTATGGCAGCCAGCCGCACCACTGATACTTGGGAAAGATGCCGGCGGCCACCTTCCTATCCGATAACTCGAGAAACTTTTGTCTTCCCGCGGACTCCGAGTCTCTGTCCTGCTGTCTATATCTATATACGTGCGTTCTATCGCAGCCGGGCTATATAACTTACGGATGTATTTTCATACCGCTAACATCGGCAGTCCTATGAGAATGGAAGAAGCTTTACGGCGGCTACTGGCGAGCGTCATTGTGTCCCGTGACCGTTCGAAAGGATCCGTCGATTTCGCCTTTACCTTTGGCGCCTCCCGTTTTTACCTACGAGCCTCGGCCACGTCTGGCAACGCGCACGGACTATACGGATTTATCTGGTTGTAGCTGGGAAAAAAAAAATATATATATAGGCTCGTTTTGAAAGAAGAATTTTTTTTCTTTGCGACTAATCGAGTGAAAAATTTTTTTGAAAATTTTTTTTTTCCACCCTGTCAAATTCATGATGTTGCTTTCTTCGTCTTAATTCGAGTCCAAAGTTTGGATTTAAATAACGTTAATTAATCAGACCTCGGGTAACTTTTAGTCATCCGTTTTGGATCCTTGGGGCCAGTCTTCATCGAAGCTTCGAAGGCGACAGTCTTTAGAGGCCTTACACCCGAACGAGGAGTCGCTCTGTGGATATATTATCTCCTCCCGACTGGGATATTAGTTTTCTTTAGCAGTGGGTCGTGGGTGGCTGCTGGCTCATATGGAAGGTCTGTATCGTGGGCAGGAAGGGGGGAGCAAAAACGAATTTGAGAAAACCCCGATGGATATACGGGGCTTTCTCGTGGTTATCCTAATTTATTCCAAAGGACTACTGTCATCGTTCACTCTGTCATTTGGGGATCGATTCGCATGTGGAACTTGCGTGGGAGTTATTTTCTTCTTCCTTTGTTCTTTGCTTCTATCTCGCTTCACGTAGCGCGTGCGTGCCCTCGTACGTTTATATACGTATATAACGAAAGTGGATCACGCATTTCCAAAGCATCTCGCGCGGCGTGTAAAATTAAGTCTAGGGATTTCTCTTTACGATACTTGGGAAAACGGCAGTCTCTTTACGACTTCGCATGGCCATTTACGTTAGTCGCTCGTTTGACATCTCGATGTCTTCGATTTATTCGGGTTTTTTCCTTTCTTTTCCCACCCTGTACATTGGTCGGAATAAAAGTTTCATTGGAGAGTCTTATGTGTTTGTTTTTTCTTTTTCGCTTCCGTTACGTCACCGGGCCAGATTAATTTGCCCGCGATAATAATAATAATTATCGACTGGTCCTTCGACGTACGACTGTGCCGTCGCGATCTTTGATACGCGCCCGTATAAATATCCCTTAGCTTGCTAATCGACTTCTCGGAATCTCCCGTGATATTAATTTT